TTTCTATTATATAGCACTTTATGGGATTATGCTATGTGCTCCATATTTGAAATTAGAGTACTTTTCTTATTTGTTACATAGTGTTTTAAAGTAATAAAAATAACGCTTTTGTTTCATCAATATTTTTTTTATTTTATTGCACTTTATGAGATTATACTAGTGTGCTCTAGAGTTATAATTACACTGCTTTTCATTTGTGTTACATAGTGCTTTAAAGGAATACAATTACTGTTTTTGTTTCTTGACTGCCTTTTCTTTCTTGAATATAGCAGTTTATGGGATTATACTTTAAGCTCTATAGTTCTAATAATAGTGTTTATCCTATTTGTTAGATAGTGTTTTAAGGTAATAAAAACATCATTTTTGTTACATAAATGTTTTTCTTATTTTATTACAAAGCACTTTATGATATTATACTTTGTGCTCTAGAGTTATAATTTCAGTGTTTTTCGTATATGTTACATTGCACTATATCGGATTACAGTTCGTGCATTTGTTTCTTGACTGCCTTTTCAATTTATTATAAAGCACTTTATAAGATTATACTTTGTGCTCTATAGTTCTAATAATAGTACTTTTCCTATTTGTTAGATAGTGTTTAAAGGTAATAAAAATAGCACATTTATTTTATCAATGTTTTTCTTTTTTATTATAGAGCACTTTATGAGATTATACTTTGTGCTCTATAGTTATAAATAGAATAACTTTCGAATATGTTACATAGCACTTTATGGGATTACAGTTACTGCATTTGTTTCTGGACTGCCTTTTCAATTTATTATAGAACACTTTATGGGATTATACTTATTGCTCTATAGTTCTAATTACTGTGCTTTTCGTATTTGTTGCATAGTATTTTAAGGTCATGTAAATAACGTTTTTTTTTCCTCTCTGTTTTTCTTTATAATTAAAACGATCTTTATGAGATTATATTGTGTGTTGTAGAGTTATAATTACAGTGCTTTTCGTATATGTTACATAGTGCTTTAAGGGAACACATTTAGTGCATTTGTTTCTTTACAGCCTTTTCTTTTTATTATATAGCAGTTTATGGGAATATACTTTGTGCTCTATAATTCTAATTATAGTGTTTTACCTATTTGTTACATAGTGTTTTAAGGTAATATAAATAGCGCTTTTATTTCATCAATGTTTTCTTTTTTATTATGAAGCACTTTATCAGATTATACTTTATACTCTATAGTCATAATTACAACGCTTTTCATGTTTTACATAGTGCTCTAAGGAAAAACAATTGGTGCTTTGGTTTCATGACTGTCTTTTCTTTTTATTATATAACAGTTAATGGGATCATACTTTGCGCTCTAAAGTTCTAATTACAGTGCTTTTCCAATTTGTTACATAGTGTTTTAAGGTAATAAAAATAGCATGTTTGTTTTATCAATGTTTTTCTTTTTTTATTATATTGCACTTTATGTGATTATACTGTGTGCTCTTGAGTTATAATTACAGTGCTTTTCATATGTGTTACATAGTGCTTTAAGGGAATACAATTAGTGCTTTTGTTTATTGACTAGCTTTTCTTTCTATTATATAGCACTTTATGGGTTTATACTTTGTGTCTATAGTACTAATAAAAGTGCTTTTCCTATTTGTTAGATAGTGTTTTAAGGTAAAAAATAATAGCGTTTTTGTTTCATTAACATTTTTCTTTTTTATTATAAACCACTTTATGAGATTATACTTTGTGCTCTAGAGTTATAATTACAATGCTTTTCGTATATGTAACCATAGCACTTTATGGGATTACAGTTAGTGCATTTGTTTATTTACAGCCTTTTCAATTTATTATAAAGCACTTTTTGGAATTATAGGTTGTGCTCTATAGTTCTAATTACATTGCTTTTCCGATCTGTTAGATAGTGTTTAAAGGTAATAAAAATTGCGTTTTTGTTTCATGAATGTTTTTCTTTTTTATTGTAAAGCACTTTATGAGATTATACTTTGTGCTCTATAGTTATAACTAGAAAGATTTTCGTATATGTTACATAACACTTTATGGGATTACAGTTAGTGCATTTGTTTCTGGACTGCCTTTTCAATTTATTATAAAACACTTTATGGGATTATACTTTTTGCTCTATAATTCTAATTACTGTGCTTTTCGTATTTGTTGCATTGTATTTTAAGGTAATATAAATAACGTTTTTGTTTCCTCTCTGTTTTTCTTTATAATTAAAACGAACTTTATGAGATTGTATTGTGTGCTGTAGAGTTATAATTACAGTGCTTTTCATATGTATTACATAGTGCTTTAAGGGAATAAAATTAGTGTTTTTGTTTCTTGACTGCCTTTTCTTTCTATTATATAGCACTTTATGGGATTATATTTTGTGCTCTATAATTCTAATTATAATGTTTTTTCTATTTGTTACATAGTGTTTTAAGGTAATATAAATAGCGCTTTTGTTTCATCAATGTTTTTTTTTTTTTATTATAAAGCACTTTATCAGATTATACTTTGTACTATATAGTTATAATTAGAGTGCTTTTCATGTGTTACATAGTGCTCTAAGGAAAAAGATTTTGTGCTTTGGTTTCTTGACTGTCTTTTCTTTTTATTATATAATAGTTAATGGGATCATACTTTGTGCTCTAAAGTTCTAATTACAGTGCTTTCCAATTTGTTACATAGTGTTTTAAGGTAATAAAAATAGCGGTTTTGTTTTATCAATGTTTTTCTTTTTTATTGTATTGCACTTTATGTGATTATACTCTGCGCTTTTGAATTATAATTACAGTGTTTTTCATATGTGTTAGATAGTGCTTTAAGGAAATACAATTAGTGTTTTTGTTTATTGACTGTCTTTTTATTCTATTATATAGCACTTTATGGGTTTATACTTTGTGTCTATAGTACTAATAACAATGCTTTTCCTATTTGTTAGAGAGTTTTTTAAGGTAAAAAAAAAAAATAGTGCTTTTGTTTCATTAATGTTTTTGTTTTCTATTATAAACTAGTTTATGAGATTATTCTTTGTGCTCTAGAGTTATAGTTAGAATAATTTTGGTTTATGTTACATAGCACTTTATGAGATTATAGTTAGTGCATTTGTTTATGGACTGTCTTTTCAATTTATTATAAAACACTTTATGAGATTATACTTTTTGCTCTATAGTTCTAATTACAGTACTTTTGGTATTTGTTGCATTGTATTTTAAGGTAATATAAATAACGCTTTTGTTTCATATCTGTTTTTCTTTTCTAGTAAAATGAACTTTATGAGATTATACTTTGTACTCTAGAGTTATAATTACAGTACTTTTCGTATATGTTACATAGTGCTTTAAGGGTATACAGTTAGTGCATTTGTTTCTTTACAGCCTTTTCTTTTTATTATATAGCACTTTATGGGATTATACTTTGTGCTCTATAATTCTAATTATAGTGCTTTTCCTATTTGTTACATAGTGTGTTAAGGTAATATAAATAGCGCTTTTGTTTCATCAATGTTTTTCTTTTTTTTTTTCATAAAGCACTTTATCTGATTATACTGTGTACTCTAGAGTTATAATTACAGTGTTTTTCATGTGTTACATAGTGCTCTAAGGAAAAACAATTGGTGCTTTGGTTTTTTGACTACCTTTTCTTTTTATTATATAACAGTTAATGAGACCATACTTTTTGCTCTATAGTTCTAATTACAGTGTTTTTCCAATTTGTTACATAGTCTTTTAAGGTAATAAAAATAGCGCTTTTGTTTCATCAATGTTTTTTTTTATTATTATATTGCACTTTATGTGATTATACTTGTGCTCTAGAGGTATAAATACAGTGTTTTTTCATATGTGTTAAATAGTACTTTAAGGGAATACAATTAGTGCTTTTGTTTCTTGACTGCCTTTTCTTTCTCACTACCCGAAAAGAAAGAAAATGACATGGATAATGAGGCGCATAGTGCAACGGAATAGGTAATAACCAATGCCCGCACCAAAATAATTATAAAAAAAAATTGGCACAAAATGTCGCGCCTTATTATATTTTATTTAAATACATAAATAATATTTTATGATAAGTCATCGTTTTACTCATCTTATTTTTTATTTTTTTAAAAAATAATTGAAGACGCCAAATGTAACGCCAATTGAATAAAAAAAATAAATTATATTCACCATTATTTGTACCTATATATAGAAATATTATTATTTTATTATAATATTAATAATTATTTAATTATTTATTACATTTTAATATTAATACTTCATATTAATTTTATTTTTATTAATAAAAAGTATTGGCGCAAAGAGTCGGGCCTCCACTTGAATTATAAATTATTTTAATAAAAGTAGAGGCTCGATTGTTCACGCCTCTAATATAAATTATTTTTAAAATAATAATTAAAGGCACGAAAAGTTACACTTCCTTTAAGAAATTAATTAAAAACTTTAACTTATAAATTATTTTAATAAAACAGGGGTGCGATTGTTCGCGCTTCTAATATAAATTATTTTTTAAACAATAATTTAAGGCGCGAAGAATCACGCGTCTCCTGAAAAATTAATTAAAAATTTTAAATTATAAATTATTTTCATAAAACAAAGGTGAGGTTGTTCGCACCTTTAATATAAATTATTTTTAAAATAAAAATTAAAGGCAGGCCTGCCCTGAGAAATTAATTAAAAACTTTAAATTATAAATTATTTTAATAAAACAGAGGCGCTAATATCAATTATTTTTAAAATAAAAGTTAAAGACATCGCGCTGAAAAATTAATTTAAAAATAGTTAATTATAAATTATTTTAAATAAAAATAAAGGTCAGATTTTCCGAGCCTTCACAATAAATTAATTATAAAATAAAAATTAAACTCTCCGCTATAAATTTGTGAATTACAAATTATTTTAAATAAAAGTAAAGGCGCTGGTTCGTGCCACTAATATAAATTATTTTTAAAATAATAATAACAAATACTATAGAATTGACAGACACAGATCAGAATTGACAAACATGACCAAAACGTACAACACAGCTTGGACTTCTTTACTCGATCTTCCGTCACCCAGGATTCCTCAAGGCTGAATTTTGAGGCAAATTCTCCGGTAGATTTATCAGGTGACTGAATGGTGCAGGCGGAGGGGTTGAATTGCTGCTCCATCTCCTCGGCAGTTTTCTTCTTGTTGAGGTACCTTCAGAGCAGAATTTCTGAATTATTTTTGTTCGCTTGTTTAGAGATAGGTGATGTGTTCTTATTATAGTTTCTAGTTCGGTTATGCTGAGGATACTAATACTTATGGCTTGCTTTTATCCGAGGATTATGACTATCTACTACAATAGTTTAAGTTTCACTGCTTTCTTATCCTCTATTTTTTGTCTGTCTTCAGGAGAAGGAAAATGCATTAAATTGGACTGTAGATATTTTTTGTAGATTAGAGAAGCAACACACAAATGTTGCCCAAGTAATTTCAATGTAAAAGGAAAATTTATTTTCTTTACTTATCGCTTTATATTCAATGGATATTGCATATTACTGGATAAACCTTTTCATTGTTTTGTGATACTACATGTGATCGCTTGCCAATTTATCAGGCTCTTGTGGACATCCAATATGGAAAGATGTAACTTTAATTTGCTTCTTTTGCATATATTTCCTGAAAATTTCATAAATAGTGTAGTGCTTCCATTTCCTTAATGGAAACTACTCGGAAAGTCTGTGATGGTTTGATCTAGAAGGGAGGGCCATTGGCTTGTATTCTTCGGAACTATAAGCATTCTATATTTGTGCATGCCTGAAAAAGGAAAAACAAAAAAAAAACCGAAAAAAACCTGGTTTAGATTAAAATCAGATTATGTTGTGATGTTTTATGTTCACAGGAGGCCTGTATTAATGCTTGGGCATTAATTATTAAAACTAGTTTGAACTACATAATTTATCTTTTCAATTATATGATTTCTGTTATTGCAGACTAGTAGAGACCCACATATTTTCTTTTGTTGTGGGAAGAGCATTTGTAACAGATATTGAAAAGTTTAAGCTTAGCAGTAAAACAAGAGCTTTGGAAGCTGAGAAAGTTTTGGAATTTTTCTCAGAAATCACAAAGGTTTTAGCACATATTAAAAGTGAAAAGATATGCCTCCTTGCAGGTTCCATGGACTTCTGTATTTCTATGACAACTGACATTCTTCTTTCTCTGCAGGATGGCTTTAGACCTGGTGCTAATCTATTGCATGCAGTGGAAATCCTAGTATCTGGGGTTTGTTCATTGACCCATCTAAAGATATATCATAATGATGTTTGGCTTTTGGTGTCATCTATGGTGCATTTTCAATATGAGAATGCAAATGTTCTTTTCGATTTCATTTTTTACTTGACAGAAAATGGTTATACCATAGAAAAGCATAGAAGCACTTCTAGGATCCCAATTTCTTTTTAACATTGTTGGAACCCCAGTTAGCCTTATCATATGTTTTTAACTTTTTCTTGAATGAAGAATGAAAATATATCTACTGCATCTTTTGGCAGATTCCTCCCCTTTGTTTAAGAACTAACTTATATGGGAAAACATATATTGGATTTTATTTTATTTTTCAAATTATGATACATACCATAATTGATAATTGATATATGTACCAATATGTAAATTGCATAATGTCCAGATGCTTTTGCCTGTGTTTCCAAGTTCTTCTCTGTTGCCTGTTATATGAAGTTGCATGATGGGTTTGCTACTTATGCTCATGATGGTGTATATGCATTTGCAGTCTGTTGATAATCAATCATTTCTAGATTCTGGAATCTTATCGTGTTTGATTCATGTGCTGAATGCTCTTATTGCTCCCGATGGTGGCAACCATTCCAAAGAGCCAGTTGGCGTGCTGGAGGTCCTATTAGATGATTTGAAGCAACATAAGTTTCAGCTGGGTCCCGAGCAGTTTAGTGATAACCATGGCCAGTTGGAAATAGAAGCTAGCTCTAGCAGCTTCCAGAAGCACCTAGACACCAAGGATGCTATCAGTTCTTCCCCAAAACTCTTCGAATCTGGTTCTGGAAAAATCCCTCCTTTTGATATGGAGGAGATAGTTTCTGTTGCTTGGGACTGCTTAGTATCCTTGCTCAAGAAAGCAAAAGCCAATCAAGCACCATTTTGTTCTGCTAATGGTTTTGTGATTGCACTTCCTTTTATAGTCTCTGACATCCATCGTCCAGGTGTTCTCCGGTTGTTGTCATGTTTGATTATGGAGGATGTCAAGCAGGTACAAATGATTTATTTTGCTCTTTATTTTTTACCAGCTCATTACTCATCAGATTACTTTTATGCTTCAAATGAAGTTTCATTGTCGTAACTATTTGTGCATTCTTCTCAATTATGATTTTATGGTTTGTCCAGTCTGTACCTTGTCGTGCATTTAGTATAAATTTCCTGTATGTTAATAATCAAGATTGTATATGGTGCTGTGATGTTGACTCTGCTGAGGCTATCGAATTTAGACAATGGTTTTGTTGGTATTTTGGTGTTTGATCGTTAATTTATTTGAAGCTGATATGTTTCTCCTCCATCCATCAAATTTTATTCATGTGTACAGATTGTTATAAGTTCTGTATCTAGTATGAGGGTGTATTACTTTGTAGTTGTTTTGTTTTTTTGTTGATATTTTTCAAATTGAAGAGTTGTTGGATGTAATATTTTATATAGAAAACAGGCATTGGGTGTGATGTCTTTTTAAAGGAAATTGAGAGTTTGAGTAATAAAAAAATTATAAAAAAGAAAAAATTGCAAAGTGAAAAGATCCGGAGTGTTCCTATTAAATGGCTAGATAAGTCAATGTGTATATTGCTACATTTTTTCTTTGGTCACTGAATTAGATCTTGATTTTTTATTTAACCCTTATGATTCTCTATTTTGCATGTAACAGTTTATTCTTGTGGAGGTTTCTGTTTGTTATAAATGTTTTGTTGTGGACACTGTCACTTATTATTCTTGCTTGCTGTCACCCAATGTGTGTAAAATCACTCTCCGAGTATACTTTATGCTGAACGTCATGCACTGTTTCGTGCATTAGTTGAATTTGCTGTTTTATAATGTTATTTGTTCAATTATCTTCAGGTCCATTCAGATGAATTAGGTTCCTTGGTTGAGATTTTAAAAAGTGGGATGGTTACAAGTGCTTTGGGATCTCAATATACTCTTCAATATGATGCAAAATGTGATGCTTTTGGAGCCCTATGGAGGATATTAGGAGTTAATGGCTCAGCACAGAGGGTTTTTGGCGAAGTGACTGGTTTTTCTCTTTTATTAACTACCCTTCATTCTTTTCAAAGTGATGAAGAACAGAACAAAGAGCTGACAAATTCTGTTGGAAGTAAAATCTTTACATATATGATGCGCGCAATGACTGTTGCAGTTTCTGACAATGCTGTCAACAGGACAATGCTATCTGGTTAATTTGCGTTGAAAGTGAATGCGTAGTTATACAGTTGTTTCTTGAACTTTCACTTGAGTTGGTTCTTTCACCATCTCTAATGCTGGAATCTACGACGGTATCTCATAATACTGGGAATGAATCCACTTGTTTTGTTTCGACAACACAATCAGGCTCTTTTGCTCCTGAGAAAGCACGGGTGTTCAATGCTGCTGCTGTCAGGGTGCTCACACGTGCTTTGCTGCTGTTCACTCCAAAGGTTCAGCTAGAATTGCTTAACCTTATTGAAAAGCTTGCTTATTCCAGTTGCTTCAATCAGGAAAATCTAACATCAATAGGTTCGAATTTGCTAATTAAAGTTACTAATTATTTTTTGATTCTGTGATGCTTCTATTAAAGTTTGTTCTAATGCTGTTAGGTTGTGTACAAATTCTTTTGGAGATTGTATACTCCATTCTGTCAAGTTTTCTCCTTTGGTTTCTCATTCTTTGAAGGTTGTAGAAGTTCTTGGTGCCTACAGGTAATGTGATTAATAATGTGGAAATATATTGCCTGCAAAGATAAATTTTGGCTGCACAAAAATTGTATTAATGTGGACAATTGCTTCTTGATTGACAGGCTATTAGTATCAGAGATTAGAATTCTTGTTCGATACATATTCCAAATGAGGCATTTGATTGAAAGATTGATTCTTTCAGAGCATATAGGATCACAAGATGTGTCTCTTGCCCCTTTTTGGAGTTGGACATGAGCAAGATAGGCCATGCTTGCATTCAAGTGCCACTAGGGGAAAGATCGTGGCCCCTTGCTACTGGTTATTCTTTTATATGCTGGTTTCAGTTCAAAAACTTCTTAAAATCTTCATCAAGGGAGAGCGAAGCTCTTAAAGCTACTCTTAGAAGACAAAGTGGACAATAATTTGTAGGCCAGGTTTTAAGGATATTCTCTGTTGGAAGCTCGTTTTATGCAGAGCTTCAACTAGATGATGATGGGCTTGTAATTCTTGCAACAAGCTTTTCAATATTCTCGCACAAACACAATTTAATTGGCTACGAATTTTTTTTTAAAAAAATTATATATATAGATATATTATTCATTGGCGTCGATTTCGGCGCCAATTATTTTATTATTTATTTTATTTTATTGTGTGGTGTGACTATCGGCACCAAAATAAAGATATAATTTATTTATTATTAATTATATTTGGCGCCACCTATAGCGCCTTCCATTTATTTTTTAAAAAAAAATTAATTAAGATTGACGCCACTTTTGATGCCTATCATTTATTTTTTTGAAAAAATTAATTAAAATTGGCGCCACTTTCGGCGCCTATAGTGTTATTTATGGTGTGGACTGTCGCACCGTGTACACTTGGGACCATTATTCGGTTGCGGGATAAAACTGTGACAATAGCCGCGCCATGTAAGCATAAATGGCACCGGCTTGCCACAGTTTTCTCCGCACCAAATGGCTTTTTTTTCGGGTAGTGTCTATTATATAGCACTTTATGTGTTTATACTTTGTGTCTATAGTACTAATAACAGTGTTTTTCCTATTCGTTAGATAGTGCTATAAGGTAAAAAAAAATAGTGTTTTGTTTCATTAATGTTTTTCTTTGTTATTATAAACCACTTTATGAGATTATATTTTGTGCTCTAGAGTTATAATTAAAATACTTTTCGTATATGTTACAAAGCACTTTATGGAATTATAGTTAATGCTTTTGTTTCTTGACTGTCTTTTCAATTTATTATAGAACACTTTATGGAATTATAGTTTGTGCTCTATAGTTATAATAACAATGTTTTTCCTATCTGTTAGTTTTTAAAGGTAATAAAAATAGCGTTTTTGTCTCATCAATGTTTTTTCTTTTTTTTTATTATAAAGCACTTTATGAGATTATACTTTGTGCTCTATAGTTATAATTAGAATGATTTTCGTGTATGTTACATAGCACTTTATGGGATTATAGTTAGTGTATTTGTTTCTGGACTGCCTTTTCAATTTATTATAAAACACTTTATGGGATTATACTTTTTGCTCTATAGTTCTAATTACAGTGTTTTATGTATTTGTTGCATAGTATTTTAAGGTAAATAAATAACGCTTTTGTTTCATATCTGTTTTTCTTTTTTAGTAAAAAGAACTTTATGAGATTATACTTTGCGCTCTAGAGTATATTTACAGTGCTTTTCGTATATGTTACATAGCACTTTATGGGATTACAGTTAGTGCATTAGTTTCTTGACTCCCTTTTCAATTTATTATAAAGCACTTTATGAGATTATACTTTGGACTCTATAGTTCTAATAATAGTGTTTTTCCTATTTGTTACATAGTGTTTGGTAATATAAATAGCGCTTTTGTTTCATCAATGTTTTTCTTTTTTATTATAAAGCACTTTATCAGATTATACTTTATAGTCTAAAGTTATAATTACAGTGCTTTTCATATGTGTTACATAGTACTCTAAGGAAAAACAATTAGCGTTTGGTTTCTTGACTGCCTTTTCTTTTTATTATATAACAATTAATGTGATCATACTTTGTGCTCTATAGTTCTAATTACAGTATTTTTCCTATTTGTTACATAGTGTTTTAAGGTAATAAAAATAGCGCTTTCGTTTCATCAATGTTTTTCTTTTCTATTATACCGCACTTTATGAGGTTATACTGTGTGCTCTAGAGTTAAAACTACAGTGCTTTTCATATGTGTTACGTAGTGCTTTAAGGGAATACAATTAGTACATTTGTTTCTTTACAATCTTTTCTTTTTATTATATAGCACTACTTTGTTTTCTATAATTCTAATTATAGTGTTTTTCCTATTTGTTACATAGTGTTTTAAGGTAATATAAATGGCGCTATTGTTTCATCAATGTTTTTTTTTTTATTATTATAGAGCACTTTATCATATTATACTTTTTGTACTCTAAAGTTATAATTACAGTACTTTTCATATGTGTTACATAGTGGTCTAAGGAAAAACAATTAGTGTTTTGGTTTCTTGACTGCCTCTTCTTTTTATTATATGACAGTTAATGGGATTATACTTTGTGCTCTGTAGTTCTAATTAAAGTGTTTTTCCTATTTCTTACATAGTGTTTTAAGGTAATAAAAATAGCGCTTTCGTTTCATCAATGTTTTTCCTTTTTATTATATTGCATTTTATGAAATTATACTGTGTACTCTAGAGTTATAATTACAGTATTTTCATATTTGTTACATAGTGATTTAAGGGAATACAATTACTGCTTTTGTTTCTTGACTGCCTTTTCTTTCTATTATATAGAACTTTATGGGTTTATACTTTGTCTATAGTACTAATAACAGTGTCTTTCCTATTTGTTAGATAGTGTTTTAAGGTAAAAAAAATAGCGTTTTTGTTTTGTTAATGTTTTTCTTTTTTATTATAAACCACTTTATGAGATTATACTTTGTGCTGTAGAGTTATAATTACAATGCTTTTCGTATATATTACATAGCACTTTATGGGATTACAGTTAGTGCGTTTGTTTCTTGACTGCCTTTTAAATTTTTTATAAAGCACTTTATGGGATTATACTTTGTGCTCTATAGTTCTAATAACAGTGCTTTTACTATCTGTTAGATAGTGTTTTAAGGTACGAAAAATAGCGCTTTTGTTTTATCAATGTTTTTCTTTTTTATTACAAATCACTTTATGAGATCATATTTTGTGCTTTAGAGTTATAATTAAAGTACTTTTCGTATATGTTATATAGCACTTTATGGGATGATAGTTAGTGCATTTGTTTTTTGACTGCCTTTTCATCTTATTATAAAGCACTTCATGGGGTTATACTTTGTGATCTATAATTCTAATATAGTGCTTTTCGTATTTGTTGCATAGTGTTTTAAGGTAATATAAATAATGCTTTTGTTTCATCTCTATTTTTCTTTTTTAGTAAAAAGAAACTTTATGAGATTATACTGTGTGCTCTAGAGTTAAAACTACAGTGCTTTTCATATGTGTTACATAGTGGTCTAAGGAAAAACAATTCGTGCTTTGGTTTCTTAACTGCCTTTTCTTTTTATTATATAATAGTTAATGGGATCATACTTTGTGCTCTATAGTTCTAATTACAGTGCTTTTCCTATTTCTTACATTGTGTTTTAAGGTAATAAAAATAGCGCTTTCGTTTCATCAATGTTTTTCCTTTTTATTATATTGTACTTTATGAGATTATACTGTGTGCTCTAGAGTTATAATTACAGTGCTTTTCATATGTGTTACATAGTGCTTTAAGGGAATACAATTATTGCTTTGTTTCTTGACTGCCTTTTCTTTCTATTATATAGCACTTTATGGGTTTATACTTTGTGTCTATAGTACTAATAACAGTGCTTTTCTTGTTTGTTTGATAGTGTTTTAAGGTAAAAAAAAAATAGCGTTTTTGTTTCGTTTAATGTTTTTCTTTTTATTATAAACCACTTTATGAGATTATACTTCGTGCTCTAGAGTAATAATTACAATGCTTTTTGTATATGCTACATAGCACTTTATGGGATTACAGTTAGTGCATTTGTTTCTTGACTGTCTTTTCATCTTATTATAAAGCACTTCATGGGGTTATACTTTGTGCTCTATAGTTCTAATAACAGTATTTTCCCTATTTGTTAGGTAGTGTTGAAGGGAATACAGTTTGTGCATTTGTTTCTGCACTGCCTTTTTATTTTATTATATAGCATTTTGTAGCATTATACTTTTTGCTCCATAGTTCTCATTACAGTGCTCTTTGTATTTTTTGCATAGTGTTTTAAGGTAATATAAATAGTGCTTTTGTTTCATGAATGTTTTTATTTTTTATTATAAAGCACTCTATGAGATTATACTATTTGCTCTAGAGTTATAATTATAGTGCTTTTCGTATATGTTAGATAGTCTTTTGAGGAAATATAGTTAGTGTTTTTGTTTCTTGACTGTCTTTTCTTTTTATTATGTAACACTTTATGGGATTATCCTTTGTGCTCTATAGTTTTAATTACAGTGTTTTTCCTATTTGTTACATAGTGTTTTAAGGTAATAAACATCGCGCTTTTGTTTTATAAATGTTTTTCTTTATTATTATAAAACACTTTATCAGATTATACATTGTACTCTAAAGTTATAATTACAGTACTTTTCATATGTGCTACGTAGTGCTTTAAGGAAAAACAATTAGTGCTTTGCTTTCTTGACTTTCTTTTCTTTTTATTATATAAAAGTTAATGAGATCATACTTTGTGCTCTATATATCTAATTACAGTGTTTTTCCTATTTGTTATATAGTGTTTTAAGGTAATAAAAATAGCGCTTTTGTTTCATCAATATTTTTCTTTTTTTATTATATTGCACTTTATGAGATTAAACTGTGTGCTCTAGAGTTATAATTATGTGTTTTTTATATGTGTTACATAGTGCTTTAAGGGAATACAATTAGTGCTTTTGTTTTTTTACTGCCTTTTCTTTCTATTATATAACACTTTTTGGGTTTATACTTTGTGTCTACAGTACTAATAAATGTGCTTTTCCTATTTGTTAGACAGTGTTTTATGGTAAGAAAAATAACGTTTTTGTTTCATCAATGTTTTTCTTTTTTATTACAAAGCACTTTATGTTATTATACTTTGTGCTCTAGAGCTATAATTACAATGCTTTTTGTATATGTTACATAGCACTTTGTGGGATTACAATTAGTGCATTTGTTTCTTCACTTCGTTTTCAATTTATTATATAGCACTTAATGGGATTATACTTTGTGATCTATAGTTCTAATAACAATGCTTTCCTATTTGTTGGATAGTGTTTAAAGGTAATAAAAATAGCGCTTTTGTTTCATCAATGTTTTTCTTTTTTATTATAAAGCACTTTATGAGATTAAACTTTGTGTCTCTAGAGTTATAATTAGAATGCTTTTCGTATATGTTACATAGCACTTTATGGGATTACAGTTAGTGCATTTTTTTCTTGACTGCCTTTTCAGTTTATTATGAAACACTTTATGACATTATACTTCTTGCTCTATAGTTGTAATTACAGTTCTTTAAATATTTGTTACATAGTGTTTTAAGGTAA